GCCCAGCGCTACCTCTTTCAATGGCAGTTGTCACCACTGTCATTCTGTTGTGGTTACTGGGGGCATCTTTTCTCTCCCCTGAGGGTGGCAAGTGCCTTGAGGTCAGGAACAGCCCACCCCTCTTGGCATATCACCATTGATGGGGCCGTGTGCCCCTAGACAGCGCATGCCCCCCTCGATGTGGAGGTGTGGGAGGTTCAGCAATGGGGAGGGAACACACCCCATCTCTACTTGTCCACTTCCTTTAAACAACTAGGAAAGTGCAAGCAAAAGGGCCCACGGCTGGGAAACAGAATATTATCTGTGACACAGTGTTGACTCACCAGTGCTGATAAAATGGAATATTTCAGTCAGTAAGTCAATAATCGTCCGTACCAAGAAGACTCCCAGGAGAGACAAGGCTCACAAATGCACACAGCTCCAAGTGTGAGCATGGGAGCGCTGCTTGAGCAGTCTGTTCCTTGTGCATTTTTATTCAGTCTTATATTTGCAATCCGAACCCAGCAAATCAGGCCTCCTCTTTGGGCGGAGTTGGAGTGAGCAAAGAACAGGAGAGGCAATTATGCTCCGAGCAGAGCTGCCGGTGAGGACTCCTGCATCTCCCCCTGCCTGGCCGGAATACAGCTATGTGACAGGTCAGCACCCTGTCCAGTGACCGAAAGATCTGGAAACTGGGCACAGGGCAGTTCCTGTGGCCCCTCTGCTCAGGCCTTCCTCTGCGATCCCATGAGTGGGATCTTTACTTGCAGTTCACAAAGGAGCTGTAGGACTGAGCAGCTTCGCCCTGTCCCACCTTCCCTGACGCAAAGAAGCTTTCAGAGAAGAAACCCTTGCCCTGATGTCAAACATGGGGCTTGCCCTGTGCCCTGAACACCCATGTGCAGGGACAGGGTCTCTCAGTCCTGTCACAAACCCAGGAAAGAGCAAAGTACCTTCTGGCCGTGGCTTTGGCTTTTCCAATCCCCCGTCTTGCATGAGCTCAAAGGCAAAGGAGACATTCAAGACCTGGAAAGAGAAATGTGCCAGTGTCATTGTGCCCAGATTCCTGGACGCTTGGGGCTCCCGGCCCCTGACCCTGGGAAGCAAAGGAGCCAGCACTACAGCCAGAGGGGCAGAGGCTGAGTAAAAACGGGGCCCTAATGTGAAGGAGAAACAAAGCTACCAGGATGGGCAGGCTGTGCGGAGTGCGGCCTGGCCGGACCCAGCTGGCTGTTGGTGAAACGTTCCCGGAGAAGTTCAAGATCTTCTTCCTGGCCTACTGTGTTCCCGTGTCAACTGCCAGGACTTTAAACTTAGGGATATGAGTGTGCACAGTTGAAAGGATCAGATGGCAAGACATGGTCAAGAGGCAGAGAGCGGTTTCTGCTTTGGACCAGATGTCCTTTGTCTAGCAGGCAGGCTGGGGCAGCCCAGGAGAGGCATCAGAAGTAGGCTGGGGGTGAGCCTCAGGTCTGGCCAGCCTTGCGGCCACCTTCCTTGTCCTGTCTGGGGAGAGATGAGGCTGGCCTGTGTACCTGACCGGAAGCGTATGGCTAGGGGGCCAGGGCCAGACGGCAAAGGGAAGGGAGAGCTGTTCACGATGCTCAGGGGTCTGCAGGTGGCTCCTTCCCAGCTCAACTGTTCATCAGAACAGGCCCCACATCCCACTGCCGAAGACTCGGGGCCGCTGGGGAGCCCTTACCTTTTCCCTGCATGGCCCTAGCAGAGGTGTGGGCGGGTGAGTTGGTGGGACACGCGGCCTGGGGGCCTCCCTTGATGTCCCCTCCCCTTACCTTCTGTTCAAAGCTGTCCGGGGTCAGGAAGAAGCTGTGCAGGGGCACGAAGTAGCCCTCCAGGAGCCCCATGAGCAGCACCAGGTACACCCCATCTGCAAACTGGAGGGAGAAGGTCAGGTGAAGGCACTGGGTCCCAGAGACCCCCAGGCAAGCCCTATCCAGGGGGCTCGTCAGTCGCCATGTCAGTGCCCCAAAGGCTACATCCCCAGGCAGGCTGCTGGCCAGGGGTGAGGGGCGGTGGCCTGAGGCAGGAAGGTCCACTTTGCAGCAGGCCCGCCCCACGTCTGGCTTGTCCCCCATGGGAGCCACCACCCACGGTCCTGGTTTCAGCTGATCCAGCATGTACTGTGCACTGACCATGTACCCAGCCCTGAGTGGCATGGGGACCAGAGAGACAGATGAGGCATGGCCCCTGCCCTTGAGGAGCTCCAGTTGGGTGGGGAGATGGATGTGGAGGAAAGGCATCAGCTACTCTGATGGAGGGAAGCACGTTGGCCTGTGTGACCGTGACAGAGGTTCCTCACCCCACTGAAGATGACAGGGAAGGCTTCTGGAGGTGGCTCTGCCCGAATGGAGAGCTGAGGGGTGAGCAGGAGTAGCTAAGGTGGGGCAGAGGGAGGCCGGCAAGGGGGTCCAAGGCCTATGGCCCAGTGACAGAGAAAGAAGTCTAGTGTTTTGTAGGCCTGGGCAGTCTCCTGTCTCACCTCTTACTTTATTACTGTTTGAGAGACAGCATGGTGTAGCTGGTGCGAATGTGGGCTCTGGAGCTAGGCCTCCAGCTGTCCTACTTTCCAGCTGGGTGACTTGAGAAAGTTATGTAACTTCTCTGTGCCTCATTTTTCTCATCTGTGAAGTGGGGATGATGATAGCACAGTACCTACTCTATAGGGTTATCGGGATGATAGACCAATTAATATGTGCACAGTGCCTAGAACACCGTCTAGCATTTAGGCAACACTTACTAAATCTTAACTATTGCTATTACTATCTGGGAAGACAGCAAAGCAATCAGGATACAACTCCCTGGCTCTTGTTGACAAAGAACAACTGTATGCTGAGGGCCACAGCAAGAGGCTTAGAGCCTGGTCCCTTCCATCAAGGGTGGTTGGGAACCTGGTCTGAGGGACAGTAGATTCCTGGGCTAAGTGGGAGGTGCAGGTCTTCTGCTGACAGGGGACGTGGGCAAGGAGAGTGTGTGCTGGGCAAGTGGGGTGGGCTTTGTGGTGGCAGTGGGGGCCTGTGGGCTGGGAGACATTTGGGATGAACTGGTATTCCCAGAGGTGGAGGATGGCCTGAACAAAGATCTAGAGGTCAGATGCATACTTGAAATTAGAGAACGTTTTAAAGGAGGTGGGGGCCCCCAAATCTTTGTGGGCATAAATCCAAGTTGCTAAAGAGTTAAGAGGTCAAAGTTCTTGGAATCATCTCAAGGAACTTAAAACTAGACAGAATTGCCTAGAACATGGACTGGACCATGAGCTGAACTCTGCTGGGTGACCCGGCTGGTGGGCCTGTGACTCAGCCTTTATGATTGGTGTACTGCTTGGCCTTGAACTTGACTTAGGAACAGCTTCCTCCCTTCATCCTTCCAGCTGGCCTTCAATTCCAGTGGGGAGAGCCCAAGCCTGACTCATCCCAGGAGTCAAGGAGAGCAGACCCCAGCATCTGTGTCAGAATCAAGGCCCTCCCACGGAACGAGTCAACTGGGCCTCTTTTTGGTGGTGGCTGGAAGGGACTGAGAATAAAAGAATCCAATCTGTCTACTCATGGGAGGACCCTGGGTTAGGGTCAGGGTTACTCAGAGCTCTGAGTGCCGCTGACCTAGACCATTCCCATCCCTGACCGCTGGTTCTGATGACTTGGTGGTTGAACCTGCAGACCGACCCCAATCATGCCTGGCAGAGGCTCCCTCTCCCACCACTCCTTACCCATGAAAACTGAAGTGGGAATCGCAGACTCATGCTAGCTCTCTCAAGGGCACCTCACTTTTCCAAAGGGTACCCTGTCTCCCAAACGAGTAGATAAAGCTCACTTTATAGAGTACAGACACCGAACAGTCAGGGAGAGCTCAGTGACAGACCTGGGAATTGCCTTACACGTAACAGGAGATGCCCACATCCTCAAAAGAAAACCATACTTACGAAGTTCATTGCAGATGAAAGGGGGTTGGGAAATAGGGTGCGTTATAGTCTTAAAGTATCTCCTGATAATGATTAGTTATAAGGGTGGGGGAAGCTTTACAGTAGAGAAATCTGGTGGAGACTAACCAAGTGACCAAAGTTACTGTCACCAGTAACGGGCCTAATGGACAAAGTGCCTGAGAAGAGCACAGTGTTACTGGGGTTGGAACCGTCACTGTAAATGCATAACTTGAATCTAATCATGAGGGAAAAAAATTGAGAGACAGCCTATGAACCTAGTGACCTGCACTCTTCAAAAATGTCAATGTCATGCAAAAAAAACACAAACGGCTGAGGATTTGCTCCATATTAAAAAGAGACTAAAGAGACAGGACCATTAGAAGCAGCTTGAGACTATTACAACACCTGTGTTTCTTTGACTCAGATGCTGTTGTCAAAAGTAGTCAAATATCCATGATTTTATGTGGTTCAACCTAAATAGATGAACATCTTGATGTTATAGTTGCTTGAATGTGGTAATTGTAATGTGATTATTTAAGAGCATACTTGTTCTTAGAGATGTTTGCTGAAGTATTTAGGGGTGGAGGGAGAGAAATAGACCCTGAATGTGGTCAGATGCTAACAATTGGTTTATGTAGGTGAAGAGTATATGGATGTTCATGAGAATATTCTTGCAACTTTTCAAAATAAAAAATTAGAAAAAAAAATCAGCATTCCAGGCAGTTCACCCCTCTGAGCAGAACAGAATGCCCCTCCCTCCTGGGAGAGCTTCAGGATCAGTATGGATCAGTATGGAAAGCCATCCTGGCTGTGCAGGGGTGAGGTACTTGGAACAGTGGCTGCACTCAGGGCTGTCACCCACCTGGGTTTCCAGTTCTGTGACCTCCAGGTTCAGTTTATTCAGGTGCTTGTTCACAAAAGTGATCAGTGTCTAAAAGAGAACCACACGCCAGGCATGAAGATGGAGACTCCTGCCAGTGTCAGATCCTGAAGGCCACCTCTGTGACTCTACTGTGAGGACAAGGACCAGTGTGATAACACAGGACGAGGCCCAGCTGAGGGTGCTAGCAGGGATCACTGCTGAGCTGAAAAGGAACAGCCTATGAGGCTCTTCTGCAAAGCTCCTTGAGTTCCCAGGAAAGGACAGCCCCAGGGTTTGTGATCCCATGTACTATGTGACTTGAATAGCCAGTTTCAGGGCTGTGAAAGGGGCAGGAAGTCCCGAGAGGGCAGAATGATAGGTGCAGTGTCCTAGTCCAGGCCTGGGAGGGGGTGGCAGAGAAGAAATGACCTCCCTGCGTCCCTCCTTCCAGACCTTCCCAGGGGCAGGTGCATGTGCCCTGGGGAGGAGTGAGGGAGGAGGCCTGGTTGGCCAAGGGTTCAGTGTGGATGGGAAGGCAGGGTGCTCAGAGTCTCAGAACCCCCAGGAGACACTGTCCTCCTGATAGGAGGAGGGGGTGGATAAGGTATCCAGTGGGAATGAGAATGTAAAGTGTACATCACTTACTCAGAGTGGGAAAGCCCCGAGTTTGCAGAGAGCAGGTGAGGACGCCAGTTTCAGGAAGCGTGCAAGCTACCGGCGTGGGTTCTTAATGTTTGGCTGCATCTCGCTCCCCTCCCTCCCAGGCACCTCTTGCTCACCTTTTTCACTACATTGAGTTTGTCTGGTGCGTGGTCGAACAAGGTGTCAAAGGCATCACGTTCTGGAGAAACAGGAAGAGGTAAAGTGGAGCAAAGACCAGCTTCCTGGTGGGGAAGCCCCCCCCGCCCCCAGGGCCCTGCCAAGGTGGCCATACCGTCAGCTACAGGCAGGAATTCTTCAGTGCGTGAAACAATGCTGGGACTCGGGAAGTGGGGCTTGGGGCAGAGATTCTGGATTGATTCTTAGCTTAGGGGCTTTCTCTGTTTCTCTCTCTTTCTCTCTCTCTGTCCACTTTCTACATTAACCCTCTTTTGGGCTGGGGTTGGGGGGCTCTGTTGGACAGTTTGACTTGGTGACTGGTCCTTTCTCTTCACTATTTATATCCATTACATCATGATTTGTCACGGGTCTAAAGTGTTTCTGAAGCTTTTTGGAGGCAGAATGTTTTCCAAACGTCAAATCACCTCACCCCCTAATTTTCAAAACCAGGATAGCCACGGCAAACCTCGTGGTAGAGTGCACGGATGATGGGATTGGGAGCCTGGGAGCTCTGGGATAGAATGTGTGCTCTTGCTCTTGAGTGATCTAGTCACTTCAACCCTTGCGCCTCAGTTTCTTCTTCTGTCAAATGCCATCTGTAAACAAAACCTCCCCCAGGAGTGTCATGAGGATGAAAGACAAGAATGTATGTGCATGCGTTCTGTAAACTTTGAAGCGTCTGCTGATCTGAGTTCATTAGCATATTTCAAACATTATCCATAGTAAATATGGGATCGTTGAAAGTAGCAAAGCTGTCCCCCCTGCCCCCTGTTTTCCTTGCTGTAGCCCCCAGGCTCTTTGAACTCAGAGGTGAAATAGTGGATAGGATCGGAGGCAGGGAATGAGAAGAATGTCCAGGAGGGACGTGGGCCTGGGAAGCTTGGTGGTCCTGGGGCCTGCCTTTTCCTGCTCTTGCACCGATGAGTAAATCTGGGACTGCCAGAGGGGTGACTGAGGTCTCGAACATTCACAGACTGTATAAACAAACGCAAAGTTCTGGGAAACTGGAGCAGTATGACGTGTGATGAGGAAAGAGGGATAAGAGGGCTTCTAGAAGGGCCAGACTGAGGGGGAGAGTGGACTGTCCCGAGTGTGTACGTCCACCTCTTTACTTCCACAACACACTTAGAGCACGACTGTCCCGCCGATGTCCAGGGCCCATCCCGAGCCCAGCAATGCCAGTGGTCTGGTTACTGATGAGAGGACTGTGCCGCTGTGGCTCGTTTTCCTCTTCCCACCAGTAAGCCAACCCTCCCTACTAAGCCACCCTGTCACCAGGCTGGTGCACACACACATGCAGGAAGCAGGCCGAGTGCCTGTTCTTCCCAGCTGCTGCAGAATTAACTAGACCCCTGTGGCAGCCACCAGCACCAGAGGATAATCTTATGCAACTCACCATGCCTTCCGGAGAGAGCCCTGCAGGAAAAGGAGAAAGAAAACAGTATGAGTCTTCTCTCTCTGTCCTTCACTGAAGAGCCCACAAAGCTGCTTTCCTTGGCATTTTATTCTGCACTAAGTCTCCAATTGTCTGTCACCTCTACCCCATGACCACCTGTTTCTTCCCTCTGCTCTACAGATATGCTGGTGTTCGCACAAAGCCTGGTATAAATGATACTTACAGGACTATTTCTTGCTCTACGTAAAATCCCACTGTTGCTTACAGTTGAGAAGGAATATCGGACTTGGGGTTGCAACATTCCCAACCATTGCACCGTCTGGGCTGCTGTGGGCATCTGCCTAGGGACATCGGCGTTGTCTTTCTCCTGTTTATTCTGTGATTCCCGCCAAACTGCACCTGCCGTTGACTCAAAATCGGTTTCTCAAAGAGGGCAGGAATTGCAACCATACTCATACCGGTGAAGCAGCAAAGTACTAACAGCACAAGCATTAGAACAGACTACTTAGGTTTAAATCCCACAGAGCCACTTGCTTGCTGTGTGATCTTGGGCAAGCTACAGAACCTCTCTGGGCTCCAGGTCTCTTATCTCTAAAACAAGGATGATAACGTAACTACCTCAGTAGGATGTTGTGAGCATTACATGATTTAATACGTAGAAAGATTTTAGTGTAATTCCTAGTATATAGTAAGTGCTCAATACATTTTTTCCCTATATGTTTTTGGTTCTTATCATATTGGTTTATTGCAACTGTACATCTATCACCTACTAAATGATAACTTGGGGGTAGTGTACTGGAAAGAATAATGAACTTGGAGTTAACTGTTGGAGAGCCCAAGGACAGCTGCTTTTCCACCTTTGGGATGGGGTCTTAGGAGGTGTAGGCATTGCTTTGTGTATTTATTATGAGTACCAATAGATATAAAAGTGCTTCATAAACTGTTATGTGTTGCCATTGTTAGGAGTCGACCTCCACCTTCATGTCTGTGTGGCAAGATGGCAGAGGGAGACCACAGGAAGCATGACAGGCAGCTGACTCATTACTCTGCAAACCTAAACTTCCATGTCCCCTGGTTCAGGAGTTTCTCACAGGCCACGTTCCTCTCAGGTATGTCTTTCTCTTCTCCAGAATGTGAAACAACAGGCGTGGACAAGCCCAGCAAAGGGTGGGGGTGTGGGGCAGGGCTGAGCCAGGGGGCATGAGTGACATGTCACAGGACCCAGGCCAGGGAAATAGTGTGCCTTGTGGATCAGGTGCCCTCTTGACTTCCAAGACTAGCCCCCAGAGTGACATGGAGGCTGCCTGACAGGCTCTCTGCGGGCCATAAGCTGGGCATCTTGGGAAGGGCCACTGCCCATCTTTGCCCTACCCTGGTCCTGTTGAAGCCACAAGCACATTGTGGTTCAGACAGGCCACACCGGGGACCTCCCTCAGCCACCACTGGGGAAGCTAGCTGCCTAGAGATTGGGCAAGACTTGGAAGGCATGGGTCAGCTGTGAATCCTCACCACCACTCTGGTTACGCAAATGCTCCCCACTTCAGATACAGAAACCAAGGTCTGAACAAGTGGCAGAGCCTGGATTTGAACTCAAGTCAGGCTGGCTTAGAGGTCTCCGCTCTTTCCACTTCGCTGTTGTTCAAGATAACATAGAAGAAAGTTGGGGCAGCAGGGGATGCTGAAAATGTCCTTTGCCTGTGGCCGGGGCTCAGGCCTGCCCGATGATCTCAAGACCCTTGCCCCCAGCGTCCTGCTTTTTCTACCTCAGAACAAACTTCATTTCCCCACGGCAAACCTCTTACATATTCTGAGATTCCAACTGCTTAACGGAAATGAAAAAAACACAAAACACCAACCCACCACTCTGAGGTAGAAAAGGGCTTTCTGGGTCATGGCATGTGACCAAATACATCAGATTCAGAAAAGGAAGAAAAACGTCCTTTTGAAGGTTCACACTTTAAATTCAACCCCATGTTTATGGCATGACGATTTCATGCTGGTTGGCTTTTTTGGGCACACTTTTTCCTGGAGTGCCACAAAATTAGAATTTTTCAATCACGGCTAATTCTCTCTCCCCACGTCCCCACCCAAGTTTGTATCTTAAGCATTGAGAGGCATGTTTTGAATGCATGGAAAAGGCTAAACTATAATCATTGGCTGAAGTCTAATCCCTCTTGCAATCCCAATAAATGAAAACTAAATATCAGCAAATGGATGAATTTCGGAGAAACATCTGTGTTCCATTAGAGAATCGCTGGCAACAATGGTGTTGACATACTCTGTGTTACCAGTTATTTCCTCTTGGATTTGCCGAGACTGGAGGATTCCTTCTCGTTTCTGAAACAGGGGTGGGGAGGCGGGCGGGGAGGAGGAGAGAAAAATATTCTTTAGAAAAATACAAAAAACTGATTAGCATTCCTGATATTGAGAAAGTTACTGGTGTTTAAGAAATGAAACCCAGAGAAGAGATCGCGCCAGAAGCAAAACGAGGCCCCTGATTTCCTGGGACCGGACCATACCATTCATGCTTAAGGGCAATTAGTGTTTATTCCAAGCAAGTTGGCTGTTTCTTGGACGGTGAAATCTTTTCTTTCTTTATTGGAAGACATTTTTGCTGGAAGCAAACTGCCTCCTGGAGTAATCCACAGTAAACCGAATGGAAATGAAGGCCAGGGTGTGTCTGCCCTCCAGCTGGGGCCACAGAGGGTAGGGAAGAAACACATTTAGCGGTGGGGCTGGGGGAGAGGACAGAAGCCAACTGGGAGAATTTAAACAGAGGGAGAGTTTTCGGTTTTGTTTTTGTTTTTAAGGGATAAATAGGGGAGCTTTTCTGTGAGCTGTGCGGTCCTGAGGTAACTGGCTTATTCTCTGAGAAAAGAGCACTAAGCACTCTGGAGGCCCTCACGCCTACCCACCCACTCATCCACTCATCCGTCGGTCTGTCCATCCATCATCTGTCCACCTCCTCCCATCAATTTATCTTCTTTCTTTATTTCATGAGTCACTATCTTCTCTGTACAAGAACTTATGTTGGACTGAGAGCAAACACTGTGGAACGTCTGACCTAACTTCTGACCTTGAGTAAAATGGGGTAGATGAAACAGGTAGGTGAGAAAGATTTCCAAGAAACAGTCCGGGTTTATGCCTGATGGCGCCGCTCGATTATTACAGCAGGATTCCGTGTTCACTCTCAGAAGTGTCATGTGTCATCAATTATGCGGTCACCCCAGGCAGACAGGACGTGCTGAATGTGGGACAGAAGCAGGCATTTCGTGGGGATGGCTGGGGACCCCTTCCAAGGGGAGGGTGTCCTTGAGCTAGAACTTGGCAGGACACAGAGGATTTGGCTGGACACAGAGGAGAGGATATTCCAACAGAAGGGATGGCCCCAGTGAAAAGGCAGGTCAGGAGAGCACAAACATGTCCGGGAGGATGTTTGGAGGGCTGGTGGCTGCCCTTAGTCGGTGGAGAGTCAACTGCGTGCCGGTCTGGAGTTTAAACCTCATTGTGTGGGGATGGGAGCCAGTAAAGGAGTGCTGGGGCTCAGGAAGACCTTCTGATAGGTGTGGGGAGGGAGATCCATTTCATCAGGTCTCTATAGTCCATTCCCAGACACCTAAACGACAGTAGTTTGGGGATGGCAAGCGGTTGTCAGGGCAAGTTCATCTACAAAGGCGGAGAAGAGTGTCCAGAAGGAGCCTCCAAGCCTTAGCATTTCAGCTGAGACCTGCCTTCTTGCCCTTCTGCCCAAACTTCCAGAACCTTCTCTTCTAGTCCCAGTAGCCACAGAAACGAGAGTCCTTGCAAAATGCTTTTATGGAAGGAAAGGTAGAGCTGGATAAAGGCCAAGAATATATCTGCACTAGATTAGGAAGAACAGATTATCAAAGTAAAAAAGAAAAATGATATCATTTAAAAGGGATCCAGTAAGGATAAATCAAGACTTTTTCCCAGTTCAGCTTCAACATGTGTATAATTTTCACATGGGGCTAATGGAATTTGTGTCCTTGTCTTGTGAGGTTCTTCACAGACATAAAAACTCATCTTCAACTTCTTGCAGAATTCATTGCTTTTGTATAGAATAGAAAGGAAATCTGGGTTAAATAACCCCTCACGCAGCATCCAGATTCCACCTTGATCTATTATTTGTTGCTTCAAGAACTCTCTCTGTGGTTTAGTCAGTGTCTTCTGACTAATTCTGAGTCCTGCTTCTGTTCCTGTTTAAGTTGACAAAGGAAGACACCCCATAAAACCTGACACGCATAGGTGCCGTTCTGTGTTACCTTGTCCTCTTTTTACCCTCATGCTAACAAAATGGTCCGCAGAGAAATGAAACCGACAACAGCTTTCTAATGACCTGTAACTGAGCTCAAAATAAGGCGTGAAACGTAGGCTTGCAGTTTCATGCCACTGTTTCAAGAGGATTCTACCCCCTAATCTTGAATCAGAGTCTTAAAAAATATAATGAAATGAATTTATACGTTATTGACTGGTGAAAACAACACAGTAGGGATGGTTTGGATTCACTGGTAAGATGCTTGTACCAGGAGGATCTGGGCTGGTCACATATCCACGACAGACACAAAATGCTTGCCACAGTTGCGTGCTCAATACATGAGACCAGTTCATTCCTTTTAGCTGCACTTAGCCTCTGAACCACACACATTCTCACCTCCTCTGACCCTCTCTTCACCCTCTCTCTCTGCTCCTTAGGTGTAGTCTTGTCTCCTGGCAGGCAGGGCCAAGATGACCATTCCTATTATCCCCTTGATGTTTAGCAAGTTAAGTTCTCAGAAGGTATGGAAGAAATCCTTTATTACCAGGGCATGGCCGAGCAGCTGATCGAGGAGCACCCTCACAACCTCCTCCCCTTCACTAACATCTGATCCCTGAAAGCTCAGCTTTTGTCCTGGAGACTTGGCCTGGTGGGGTCAGGCAAAGCCTACCAGCCCTCAGGACTCTTCCTCACCAAGGGGTGGTAGAGCCGCCATATTGTTCTCTTCTCCAGAACCCTGGCTAACCAGAGAGCTACTTATTAGGGGAGTTCTCCCTTGCAGCATGTTTACTTGAAAAGAACAGAAACAAGCAAACAGAATGCTGACCTTTCCTAAATGGGCATAAAGTTGGAAAATGAAATTGAATTTGAGTATGTAATGGGGTTAGGAGCAGAGTGAGAGAGTCACAGCGAAAGAGCACACCCTCATTGTGGAAATTATACAGCCATATGTGAATGGAAATTCCATCCAACAATCTGGAAAAGATGACCTGAGATCCCAGCCATGCTTCTGTGGGCAGGTGAAAAGCAGCAGTGCCCTGAATACAGGCATGGCCAGTCAGGGGCTCGCTCTCAAACACACACACACCCATGCACACAGCCCTTCACATGCATGGGTGTCTGTCTCTTCCCAATATCTGTGCCTCATTTGTTTAACCAAAAAATGACTCTCCGTGGCTTGCAGGGTTTACACACACGGATACACCTTTTCTCCTGATCCTACTGCACACACTTCACAGACCTACACACCTCACACCCTCGAATATACAGGACACAGACACCCTCCTGACGACAACATGTAAACCCCAGGCATATGCCCCACACAAGGCTAGCCCATACTCAAGTATCCTTTGCACAATAACTGATTGCTGCCCACATGCATCAGGCAGTGCACTCACATGCCTTCCAACATAGAGCATATCAAGGATACTCAGCATTCATTCCACTATCCTTGTAATAAGCTCCCCAGGCTGCCTTAGCTCCTTTACGAACTCAGCCTTTATCCCTCTCTAAGGGCGCAGATGTTTGTCGTGCTGTCTCACCTGGACCACAACCACTTGGATGGAGACATGATCTGGGAGTCGGATTGGTGCCCGGAAATACTGGGACAGAGCAACCAGCAGATGCAAGATGGCTACCAGGCTCTTGGCATGAACAGCTGAAATAAAAGATGATTTAAAAATTAGAGAATCTTCTTCCAGATCCTAGGCAAATATAAGCAGATATTCAAAATGTAGCAGTACCAACACCCAATGCACCTTCTATCCCCCACACCCCCACATCCCCCCACTAAGGATCTCACAGGCCTCCCTGTTAGGCCCCCTCATTCTTGGCCAAGTCCCACGGAGCTGCTTCTTGGATCATGTTATTGTTGGATTTCCAATATAGTGCCTCTCCACTCTAATCCAAGTTTCCAGTAGGGCCCCTGACAACTGCTGAATTTTGAGATCAGATCAGCCTTCTGCCACCCCCATGTTTTTGTTCATTCTATTCTAATAACCATGAGCATGTCTGCTCTGCATCCTCTTTTCCTTCCCACTTGACTGTGAACTTTTTGGGTTATCACCACTCCTTGTGTCCCAAGGCTCTACCCAAAGCACGTCCTCAGTAAATGAACACTGAGTCAGGAACACTGGATCCTTTCCTTTGTTCAGGGCTTACAGTCCCTTGAGGAAGTCATGACATATCTAAAGGGCTTTGTTGCTCTTTTGAGTACTGTGTATGGTCAGCGTAGGCAGTGCCCCTTGGGGAATAGCAGGGAGAGGATGTTTATGACCCAACTAGCTTCTACAGCTACTGAGCAGCATGCTAGATGTTAAACCACTCGTACTAAAGAATGGTGAGCAACCACTGAGTTCTAGTCTTTGCAGCAGCTGAGAGGAGAAAAATGCTGTGACCTAATGGGTACACATGGGGTCAGGCAGACTGGAGCTTCAGTTCTCAGTTGATAAGCTCTGTATTGGTTTCCTGCCCACATGACCTTGGGGAGGCCATTGAAGGCCTCTGAGCCTCAATGTGCTCATCTTCACAAATGGGGATAACAGTCCTGTGCAGAAATACAAGCTGTAAGAATTTCTAGAGATAAGGAAAGCAAAGCTTCCAGCACATAGCAGGTACCTAGGAATGGTTGATTTTTTTTTTTTTTTATTATAACTTAGGAGAAAATAGCTGGCACCTAGGCAATTCAGTCATATCAACACTCTCCTCTTTCTTTCTCCTAAAAGGAAAGATTCACCAGATACTTTACCTGCCTTCACAGTCCTATCAGCCTCATGGGCTCCTCCTTACAGAGGGGCACTTAAGGAAAGAACAAAACATGCTCATTTTGTGTACTTAGCACAAACTGGGCCCGTTATTAGGGTGTCGCTCTGTCTGCCCTGGGATTGATGAATCTGCTTCAGCAGAAGCTTTAAGAAATCACCAAGAAAAGGAAATGACTCAGATATTCCTTGGGAACTCATTAGAGTTACTTGTTATCATTGCTATTTTGAAGGTTTTCCACTGAGCAGCAGCCCCACACCAACATACAGTAGATGATCTGCTCCTAACTCAGCCTTCCAGAAGACATTTTTTAGTTCTGGGCTTTTGGGCATCGTCCAAAGTTTCACCCACAGTGACAGCCTCAAAAAAGGCTCCTGGCATGGGAGTGACCTACTGCCAAGGTGTGCTCGCTGCTGGGCAGAGGCATCACTGGGTTTGCCCGTCTGATCAGAACTGTCACACTATCAGTCCGGGCACCAAGGGCTGTAAGGACATTGGCTAACTCTCTCCCTTTTAATGACAAAACATGATGCTAGAGAAGGTGTGGTCGAAAAGGTGGTTCTTACACACCGGTGACCTGTACTTCATCTTGACTGTCTCACTAAGCAACACGGAGCTATTTTATATGCACCATACAGATGCCAGTCTCTTCTGATGAGGGTTCTGTCCTCCTGGGAGTTTTTTCAAAAGAAGTAAATTACAGTTTCTCTCTCCCTCTTTCTCCCTCCCCGCCACACACTACATGTGCAAAGATGTTAATTATTATGTGATATATCATCATTAAAAAAATCTGGAAAACACCATGTCTAATAACCAGAGGATCGTTTAGACCAGTGGTTTTCAAAAGAAAAATTTTATTATGCAGAGAAACCCTTTGTTTAAAAGCCATTAGGCAAAACAGAGAAGAAAAAAAGTACAAGTGCTCTGGTCCCCAAGTCCTAACTGCAGCCCACCCACAGCTGCCTCTCTCTCCAGTGATGTCTGAGTTCCTCCTAGCAAATCATTAGGTTGGGCCAAGCATGGTTTAATGGTTTAATAATCACTGCTTTAATAAATTATGGTATACCCACATAACGGAATAGTTTCCATGCACTGAAGATCACTGTTGAAACAATGTAACTATACATGTTAATAATGTAATGTTAAACAGAAACAATAGAAACAATGTAAATATATACACTTAATGGATATACAGATATAATACATACATGTATACATATACACACATATATGCACACACATACAGACACGTGCTTATGGCCAAGACTTGGAAAGGAACATTAAAAAAAAACGAAAACATGGTAGTTTCCTATTTCAAAATTTTCTTTAGGTTAAAGACACGTCATCCTCTCCCATTAAGACAAATCCTAACAACCTTTGCATATCTGGGTACCCTCCTCATTGTCACCTCTGAGCATGTCTCCTGGTTTTCTCCCTGATGCTATACAGAATCTAGAACCACTGTGATCTTGCACTCGAGTCAAGATGGCAATGTGCAGATCTAGAGTAGGGCCAAGGCTGTACTGTATAAATTGGGCACTTAGCCACTGTGCCGAGAGCTGAAAAACAATTTCAGAGGAGCTGCTGAGTTAGAAACAGTCCTCCAAATAGGAGTTGTTGTGGAAATATAAATTGGTGTCATTTTTGGGGGAGGCAATTTGACAATATGTATTATGACCTTAGAAATGTACATATACTTTGGCCTAAAATACCATTCCTAGGTATTTAGCCTGAAGAAGTAATTGTGGCTATGAGCGGAGAGAACTCATCAGGCTATATTGATAAGAGTGGGAAAAAAAAAAACCAATCTCAAAAATCCACCATTAATTAAATAGTTATGATATACCCATACAATGTCCTGTTACATAATGTTAAAAGTGACAGAGTATTTAATGATCTCTCAAGATATATATCTTCTAAACATACACAGACTGATTTCATCTTTGTAAAAATAAAATATATTTACATAAGTATGTATACACACATTTATCTATTTCTTACACACATACACACGCACAACTTGATGGAGCACACCACCAGGTGACAGTTCCCGTCTTTGGGTGGGCAGCTTAAAGGAACAGCATGTGCAGGCTTAGTGCAGAGGCTCCACGACCAGACTCTCTGCCTCTCATTCCTGGCCCCATCACTTACCACCCGTGTGACCTTGGATGACGATACTCCTTTAGCAAATATTACTGTGCTTAGTAATTGCCAGTCACTCTTCTAGATTTTGGGGATTTGGTAGTGAAGAGACAAAAATCCCTGACCTCATGAAGCTTACATAAATTGTTTCTTAACCTCGCTCTGCCTCTATTTTTCCATCTATAAAATGGGCATAATAGAATTTTTTTTTTTAAGATTTTTTATTTTATTCATTTGAGAGAGAGAGAGAGAGAGAGAGAGAGACAGCACAGAGGGGATAGGGTCAGAGGGAGAAGTAGACTCCCCGCTGAGCAGGGAGCCCGATGCGGGACCCGATCCCAGGACTCCGGGATCATGACCTGAGCCAAAGGCAGTCGCTCAACCAACTGAGCCACCCAGGTGCCCAGGCATAATAGAATTCTTACCTTAGATGAGTGTGGATTATAAGGATCAAAAGATGTAAATTGCTTAGAATAGTACAAAGCATACAGAAAGCACTATAAATATGTTAGATCTTCATATTTAAATTTCTTTTATCTTTATAAAATTTAGTAATGAAAATTGTTGTGAATAGAACAGAAAGAAAAGGAAGATTTCCCTAAAGCACTAGATGAAGAGCCTTGTTAACTCATAGCTGTCCCTGACACCTTTATCCTGACTGGAAAGATGAAAAAATGTCAAACAGCCAGATAGGAGAACAGGAGGGACGGAACTTCTCCCTAGGAGTTAGGCCCACCACATTCCTTATGGAAGAAGCTACTGCTGCTTGTAAACAGGCATCACAGGGAGCTAGCCACTGAGATAATTATCCCTCTGACCTAGTAATTCATCTCAGTTTTGGAAATCTATCTGACAGGAATAATTTAAGAGAAGCAAAAAGAGACACAACCTAAGACATTCGACTTGGCCCTATCGGATAGGAGCCATAGGCGAGCAAATGTCCTAATAGGATCAACGTCCACATAGGGTTTAAATTTATTATGGGATTATCTCCCCCATGAAATAGAAGCAAAAGTAAGTACAAAGACCACTTGGGAATATAGGAAATATCTAATATTAAGAGAAAGTAAAACACCAGAGTGTATGTGACTTCATCAAGTAAAAATAGGCATGGATATGGACAGTAGTGGGCGAAAAATGGAAACAGCTAGATGAGAGTGATAATACAGGGGATTATTTTCACATTTCCCTATAAGAAATGAAGGTAAATGCAAACCAAACAAATCATTAAAAGCCACTGAAGACAATGGTCCTGAAGTGGCTTTAAAAAGTTCCATTCTTCTGGGGCACCTGGGTGCCTCAATCAGTTTTAGTGTCCGATTCTTGGTTTCAGCTGAGGTCATGATCTCAGGGTTGTGAGATTGAGCCCCGGATTGGGCTCTGAGCTCAGCACTGAGTCTGCTGGAGATTCTCTCCCTCTGCCTCTCCCCCCACTCTGCATGCGCTTGCACTCTCTCTCAAATAAATAAATAAAAATCTTTTTTTTATTTGTTAGAGTGAGTGAGAGAATATGAGTGAGGGGGGAGGGACAGAGGGAGAAGCAGACTCCCCACTAAGCAAGGAGCCTGATGTGGGGCTCGATCCCAGGACCCTGGGATCATGACCTGAGCCAAAGGCAGATACTTAACTGACTAAGCCACCCAGGTGCCCATAAGTAAATCTTAAAAAAAAAAAAAAAAAGCCCCATTCTTCTATCTCAGTCTTTCCCAAACTGGATTCCCTGGTAAGTTAAAAGGTGTTTTGTTTTGTTTGGAGGGGTACATGGAGATGGTCCATATTCAGGGAGCAGGAAGTAGGATGAAATGAAACTAAGAAGGGGTCTTCATCAGAAGACTTTCTCATGACTGTTGTGGATTTCCAAAATGTAGATGCAGCTCCTACACATGTGATCAGGTGCTCTCCCCTCCCCTCCCCCCAACACTATTAGCTTTCCCAGACCCTGGGGCAGCGTCCAGGGCCCAGGGCTTGGCCTCTCCTCCACCTGCTCTTGGGTGTTTCTGTCAGGCAGCAGACACCCCGTTCCAAGCACTGTGTGCTGTGCACGCAAAGATGTAATCATGCTGCAGGAGGTACCTGGTGTCTTGCCTCCAATGTCAGATGCTAGAAACTCGCTTAAGAGGTTGTGTCTGGCAGCTACTGGGTCTCTAAGTTGAGGGGTAAAGATTTCCTTTTCTTTCCCAAGTTGGAAAGGCGTGTTTTGTTTTGTTTTTTTGGTTTTGGTGGGGAGGGAAGGTGTCCACTGTAAGTTGTATAAACTGGATACAGTAAGGTCTAGTACTTAACCCCGTAATGCTTAACAGCAGAGAACACAATCTAGATCATTCTATTAATCTGAATTCTTCTTTTCATCTATTACAAAGAAGAAAATAACTTTAGACTCCCTCTGAGAAATCCGTTGTTGCTGCTGGATTCACCCGATTTGCTGATTTAACACGGATTCTGTCAGGGACTCATCGTGTCCACAGTAGACGGGCGGGCCCTTACGGCAGCAAAAGAATGGACAGTTTACACTTTCCCAGACCCTGGAGCCACACTCGCTGTGCAACCTGAATTTGAAAATCCCATTCCAGGGCCTGCAATCTCAGCCAGATCTTTGCTCCTTCTGGAAGATATGGGACTGAGAGGAAGGGCATGGGCTTAAGAACAGAGCCAAGTCCTTGTACCCTTGCTCCTCAGCTGCCTGAACGTAGGGATCCCCACATCCTGAAGCCTCTCTGAGCTGGAGACACAGCTTTCTCAAAAGGTTGTGCTGGGGCTCAGGAGGAGCTCATGATTGAGCTCCTCCTCCTCCCCATCTCCCATGAGCTTGCTACAATCAGCCTTTCACGGAAGGGCACACCGGACTTTGTTCTTTTCCCAGCAGCGCAGAGAAGTTCTCTAAGGAAGGGCATGTCTCGCTCAATGATAAATGGGTTTGCACCCCCCACCGTGGGCCTGCCAGCTTCCTGGATGGCTTCTTGGGGAAACCCTAGGGAGGGGACGACAGCCCCATCCTTCTTTGTAAAACTCACAGTCCACGTTCCACTTGATGCTCCTGGGAGGAAGTTTCAGGGTTTCATTGATCTTCTCCAGGACAGTCTGCAGCTTTTGCTTCTGAGCAATCTCTGACTGGGTGACTTCAGCAACGTTCAGCTTCTCACTCTCAAGCTTCTCTGGGGTGACAAGGGGGAAAGAGAGCCACTGTTACCTCCACAGACAACCCCAACTCACACGCTTACTTGCTCATTCATTCCCTCACACGTACTCCTGCACTCACACATTCGCTCAGTCCACAAGGGTATACTGAGCACCTGCTATGTGAGGGACACTGCCCTCCCCTCATCTGACGGTGGTACTGGTGACACCAGGATTGTGAGAGCTTGTGACTGTGTCTTGAATGATAAGCTCCCAGGAGCACAGAAGTGGGGCATGTAACCCAGCCTGCCATAACTGAACCCTTTTCCACCATTCTGGATTTTTCCTTCTTTTCAACTCTGCCTTCTCCAAGCATACTCTGGGCCCCGACTAGAAAGCCTTGTGTGCCTCCCCTGGGTCTTTTGCACACTTCTGTCTTGTGTATGTATGCATGTGTCATGCTGAATCACATTTATCGGTTCTAAGGACCTCCCTTCCTCTTAAACCCACCTGGACTGTAACTTATTTGATGTGTCCTGTTTCATGAATTCTAGGGCATACTTCCACCCTGCCCCCCCACACTTTAACATCCCTGAAATCAGTGTCTTCAAATTGATGACATTCTATAGTTGTGGTCAGCCAGGTGGAAGATAGGCGTTCTCACTGTTTCCTCGTGGGTGTAGTGTGGCCACTTCTATGTCTCAGTCAGCCTAGAAGAACACTTTCCAAAAGTAGGAAATAAAAATTCTAAGGAAAATGAAAGCTTTGGGTAATAGTAATTTAAATGATTTTTCTTTTTTTGAGTGGTACTTGTAAAATGGTATGTTTTAAAATCAGTTGTTCTTGCATGCAGTGGCATAACCCCATAATACTTATAGGCAAAACACAGTCTAATCACTTAATTGGTCTAAATTTTTATCTGTTAGAACAACTTTTGGATTTCTGAATGGGAAGTATCATCTGCTGTTGGATTCACCTAATCTACTCTCCACAACTCATTCAGGATTGATAGAACTGACACTCTGAAATAGGTTAAAATGTCTTTTTCCTTCATTTTTAAGGACTACCCTGCAAAAGAATTAAACTTTATGTCAATGATCCCCTCGTTGCTTATATTATTTCTTTTATTTTTCAGTAGTTGTAGCTTATCCGGTCAAATATGTATTGGGTAATTCTTTGAAGAAATTCTGCAGGTTCTGTGGATTTAAGGATTCTTTTCTGCACTTGGATAGAATGAGCTCAAGCTCTTCTCATCTGTGAAGGCCCGAGTGTTCTCCTTCTCTCCTCTTTAGTTGCTTACGGCCATCATTCTTTATTTCTAAATGTCAGGGATTTAATAAGCCTATATTTAATTGTCTTCCTCTTGATTGTTCGAACGTGAAGAGACCATGTGTGCTTTTTCCATTTTAAGGCTGTGAATTCTTGTCTTGGATCCTCTCCTACTGAAGAAATGACAAGCTGCTTGTATCTTATGTCGCAATCACAGTTTTGGTAGTTTGGTAGAGGCTGCCCAAAGTGCTAGGGTAAGGAAACTTCTGAAACCTTCTCTTGGCTAAGAGAAAAAGATCACCAGGTTAGGACAGTGATGAGTGTCTTGGGAGAATGCTTGGGGTGGGGGTGAGGGGACGAGTGGCAGCGTCAGAACCACTCTCCAGCCGGCTCTGTTGTGGTGTATCATTGCCTGTGATTTTTCATATTTATAACCTTCTGCTGGCATTGGACTTCTTAGGTCTCTGAGTCTGTTTTCTAGCTCACTAACTTTTTTTTGCATTGTTGTCCATTCTGTTCTCATTTTTTTAAAAATAGGATTTTAGACATTACCTACTAGAACACTTAATTTTTTCTGTTTTTGCCAATATTTTTTAATTGTCACAATACTAACATTATAATGCTTTCTTCTTAAAATTAAAAACGTTCTGAATTTTAGCATCTGGCATTATTCAGGAGGAGACTTTTTATGGTTTGCTTATTTCTTTTGCATTACTAATTTTGGAGGAAATGTAATTCTGCTTTACTTTTTTTCTACTTTAGTTATGCTTTGGGTTTATTTTTTTGCTTTTTATTGGATATTTTACTTTAGGCACTGATGTTGGTATAACGTAGATTTGAGTAGATAGAATATCTGAAGTAACCTTTATTAATAGTTTTAGGTGTATCTTTTCATGTTCACACACACAGAGAGTTCTCTCTCTCATTCTCCTTTAATGAAAGTGAGATTACCATGTATATATTTTTCTGCTACCTTTTTTTCCATTCAAACATATATCATGAGTATCTTTGTCAATATATATGGATATAATTCATTTTTGGGGTACCTTTTGACCACCTTTACCCACTCTGTCCACCCCCCAACCCCTTACCTCTGGTGACCACCACTCTCTTCTCTGTATCTATGAGCTTTTTTTTTTTTAAATAAAGATTCAACATATAAGTAAGATCATATGGTATTTCACTTAGCATAGTGCCCTCAAAGTCCATCTACATTGTTGTAAATGGCAAGATTTTATTCTTTCTTTATGACCAAATAATACTCCATATAAATATACACCATATCTTCTTTATCTATTCATCCATTGATAGACATTTAAGTCGTTTTCATATCTTGGCTATTGTAAATAATGCTACAGTGAACATAGGGATGCACATATCTTTCAAGTTAGCATTTTCATTTTCTTCTTTAGACAAATAACCAGAAGTAGAATCAGTGGATCATATGGTATATTCATTTTTAATTTTTTAAAGAACCCCCATATTGTTTTCCACAATGGCTGCACCAATTTACATTCTTAGCAACAGTGCATGAAGGCTCCCTTTTCTCCACATCCTTGCCAATATATTTTTTTTTTAAATGTTTTATTTATTTATTCATGAGAGTCAGAGAACGAGAAAGAGAGAGGCAGAGGCAGAGGGAGAAGCAGGCTCCCCGCCAAGCAGGGAGCCCGATGCGGGACTCAATCCCAGGACCCTGGGATCATGACCTGAGCCGAAGGCAGACGCTTAACCATCTGAGCCACCCAGGCGCCCCGCCAATATTTCTTATTTCTTGTCATTCTGACACTAGCCATTCTGACTGGTGTTAGGTAATATCTTATTGTGGTTTTGGTTTGCCTTTCTCCGATGATTGTTGTGCACCTTTTCATGTGCCTGTTAGCCATCTGAGTGTCTTCTCGGGAAAAGTATCTATTCAGATCTTCTGTGCATTTTTAAATTAGATGTATTTGCTCCCCCCCCCTTTTTTTTTTTTTTTTTGCTATTCAGTTCCGTGAGTGCTTTATATATTTGGATATTAAATCCTGGCAAATATTTCCCCCCATTTGGTAGGTTGCCTTTTCATTTTATGGATGGTTTCCTTTGCTGTGCAGAAGCTTTTTATTTTGATGTAGTCCCACTTATTTTTGTTTATGTTACCTTTGCTTTTTGTATCAAATCCAAAAAAATCATCCCTGAGGCCAGTGTCAAGGAGATTAATGCCTATGCTTTCTCGTAGGAGTTTTATGGTTTCAGGTCTTATATTCAAGTCTAAAGACCCATTTTGAGTTAGTGTTTGTGTATGTTGTAAGATAGAGGTCCATTTTCATTCTTTTGCATATGGCTGTCCACTTTTCCCAATGCCACTTATTGAAGAAACTGTATATTCTTGGCTCCTTTGTCATGAATTAATTGGCCATATATGTGTGGCTTTATTTCCAGGCTCTCTATTCTGTTCCATTAACAGGGTCTGTTTTTATGCCAATACCATACTATTTTGACTACTGGAGTTTGTAATACAGTTTGAAGTCAGGGAGCATGGTGCCTCCAGCTTATTCTCTGTCAAGATTGTTTTGGCTTTTCAAGGTCTTGTGTGGTTCCATACAAATTTTAGGATCCTTTGTTCTATTTTCTTTTTTTTTTTCTGGACAATGTGTCTTTATTTTTATCTATCTATTTTCATTTGTATATAATTGACACAAAATGTTACAATAGTTTCAGGTGTACAAAATAGTGATTCAACAAGTTTATTTACTATGCTATGTTCACTACAAATGTAGCTACCGTTTGTCTTGATACATCTCCATTACAACATTGATTATATTCCTTATGCTGTGTCTTTTATTCCCATTTCTTATTTCATAACTGGAAGCCAATTTCTCCCACTTCCCTAATTCTGTGAAAACTGCCATTGGAATCTCAATAGGGGTTGCACTGAATCTGTAGATTGCTTTGGGTAGTATGGACATTTTAACAAATATTAATTATTCTAATCCATGAACATAGAATATCTTACCATTTGTGATCTTCAATTTCTTTCAGCAATGTCTTATAGTTTTAAGTGTAAAGGTCTTTCGCCTCCTTGGTTAAGTTTATTCCTTGGTATCTTATTCTTTTTGATGTGGTTGTACGTGGGATTGTTTTCTTAATTTCTTTCTAAGGGTGGGCATCCTTGTCTTGTTCCTTATCTTAGAGAAAAAGCTTCCAGCTCCTCACCATTGGGTATGTGGGCTTGTCATATAGAATCTTTAGTATGTAGAGATATGTTCTCTCTGTACCCACTCTGTTGAGCATTTTTATCGTGAATGGATGTGGAATTTTGTCAAATGCTTTTCTACATCTATTGAGATGATCATATAATTTTTATCCTTCATTTTACTAATGTGGCATATCACACTGATTGATTTGTGGATGTGAAACCATTCTTGCATCCTTGGAATAAATCCCACTTGATCATGGTGTATGATTCTTTTAATGTATTGTTGAATTCACTTTGTTAATATTTTGTTAAGGACATTTGTACCTATGTTCATTAGGGATATTGCTGCAATTTTCTTATGGTGTCCTTGTCTGGTTTTAGCATTGGAGTAACACTGGTTTTGTAAAATGAGTCTGGAAGTGTTCCTGCCTCTTCTATTTTTGGGGAAGAGTTTGAGAAGGATTGGTATTAATTTTTTTTTAAATGTTTGATAGAATTCACCAGTGAAGCCATCTGGTCCTGGGCTTTTGTTTGTTGGGGACTTTCTGGTTACTGATTCAGTCTCCTTACTAACAATCATTTGGTCAGATT